ATATAACTGTGGAAGACATTGTGTTTTGCAACTGAGAAAAGAAAAGAATATATGATCGATATTGACGGGCAGAAATCGGAAAGATTCAATCCATTGTAAGCACCGATGAGCTCCAGACAACTTATCCTGTAATAACGTTTTGGAATGTGTCTCCATTTGGTTTCAAAATTACTGCAATTTTTTTTCTCGTGCGCGAGGTATCCGCCTCTTCCGGTGACAAATGGAAATGGGCCACGTTCCTTCAGGTGAATCGGGCAAGAATAATTCAGCCCTGACGCCACCCTATTCACGTACGCGAGTCTTTTCAACCACTCTTCTCTCAAGGTGTTCGTGCACGTGCATTAAAAATTATTTCCTTCTTTCATCGTTAATTATCTTCGTGATTACAACAAAGACGTAACGGAATAATAAATAATTATTAATTGATGTATGAAACGGATAAGTTCAATGGACATTATTTTCAAAGTTTATTTCTAGATACTGATAACGATTTGGTTTTTTTCAATTACTTGCTATCGCTCGGTCAATCAAATTCTTTAAAAAGCACGATCATTATTTCGCAAAAGCGTCTAAATGAAGGAGAAAAAACAGCTTTTAGTAAAACCGACGATCGAATGGATATCATCAAAGTTTTACGTCGCACGTGCATTCATCGCGCAGTCTGTCTATTCGTTTGAAATTTATCGACATCGGCGTGTACGAATAAAAAAAAAAACAAAGAAAAAAGACGAAGCAAAAGTGGGACATAAAAGGGACGGCAATTACCGCTTCCGTTCCGTTCGTCATGCCGGAAGTTTCTATTCATACTCGTTGCACTATGAATGCAACGTTACTTCCGTCATCGTTGTTACGGATCGTTAGCAGACTTTGCCCGGAATTTTTGTCTATTCGTATCGATATCTCTAAAAGTAAATTTGTAAAAAGAAAAAAAAAGAAACACCTTCGTGCTATAGGTAGAAACTCAATCTTTCGATACTCCTCTTTTATTCATTTGATCTCGTGGAGTCCAACGTTCATCAGCGGTTTCTTCGGACTCATAAAGGCCCGGGATTCCACGGCGCATAATCGGCTCGCGATGTGGCAGAGAGACGATGAAAAAAAAGAAGTATCGTACATCGCCAAAGGGTGCTCCCCAACGCGGTGCAAATCATCTCCCTGGCCAGTTCTTTGTACCGTCTCGAGCGATACGTCGAGGCTCCGGGCAACGCCGAGTCGTCGGCTCGACCCGAATATAAGAACGCTCTGCGTTTTGCCATAAACGAAGCTTTTTTCCGATCGATAAATCTTGCCCCGGCAAAACCGCCGTGTCTTCTCGACTGCTGCGAAGTCCTCAAGGGTACGTATTTTCATTGAAGAATGCAACGCGCCTCCCACTTGGAGTGATTCTTCGAGAAAGCCCCGAAGATCGATGTTTCTTGCTTGCTGATGCTGTTCTCCAAGTATTCTCGCTGCTGAAATTAAACCTCGGCCTCTAGCTCTTTCGTTCTTAACTCGCTTCGGTGCTGCGAATACAATTTCCCATTAAAATTCTATCGTGCCAGAGTTTGAAATTAACCGAAGCATGAAATTTCATCGATATTGACTTTCGTTGAAATTCTTTTATGAAAATTAATTTCTTGATAGCTCCGTTGGATGTTTGACGATTTACTATCGTCTACTCACTTGAGATAACTACTCACTTTGAAGGATCGTAATCCTTTACTAGCTTAGAGTCATCGCAAATGTAAATTGACAGCAAGCATCCTTTTATGTATGACGATGACTCATGTTACATTTCAGATAAACTAAGACGATGAGCGATCTATTATAGAGATCTATTATTGAGAAAATAATACCTGCTTCTAAAAACTTCTTCTAAACCTTCTTCTAAAAACAATTTTATTACCAATTATTTTATTACAATAAAATAATGTCAAATAAATAATTTATGAGGGAAGAATAAAAGGAAGAATAAAAAAAAAAAATTTCCTCGAGCTTGTTAAAAAACATGTTTGTTATAATAAAATCATCTTTTTAATGCAAAACCGTGCAAAATTTCTAAAGCGACGTAAGTTGATCTCTAACTTATTTAGAACGTGATAAAAAATTCTAAACGTGTTATAACTCGCTTTTTAACTCACATTACTTTAGGAATTTATAGGAGTTTTATACGTTTGTGAGATGCTTGATGGCATACGGTGGCGATTAAGGGACGCAGGGCAATGTGTGCACTGAGGGAAAAGGTAAGGTGAAGGGTTTCAAATTAAGGCCCGGTGTTAACGATTCGCGTGATGCGTGGTGACCGTCGACGCGTGCCGCACGGAGCAGCTGCCAACAGCTGCTCCGTAAAAAGGGATTGCCTCTTTGTATTTTGTACTTGTTTTTATCTGTCGCTTCTGTGGTCAAGAGATAACGATCCACTTTTTAAAAGACACAAAAGTCTTTCGCGTAGGACAAATCATTTTTTCAGAAGCTACAATCAGGATTCTATTCTCTGAGCAAAAGTAGCGAGTGATACGAGTAGCCGAAATTCATACATCATTCGATTTCTGACCTCGATTCAATTACTAACGATCGACTCTGTTGACGAATCTGATATTTAAATAGACTTAGTAAGATTTCTTGTTTAACAAGATAAAATGTAATATTTTATCGTATTATCGTGCGAAAAGAGAGAGTTAGAAATTAATCGGCGAAAGTGTAGCGGATATCCTAACGTATTAAAAACAGCATTTTATGCGTGAGAGAGTACGAAGGCTCATATATCGCGTCTCTCGATCTGCCCGAAGTAGGCAGAAGAAAGGCGCAAGGTGTTCTCTCCAAGTCAGGTGGCCGCCTTCTCCAATACCCGCACCTGTTGTCGGGCGGTTGAACCTGCGTTTTTCGTCAATTTATATTAAAAGGGATAGGAATATAACGGCCGATGATTCTAAGCAATTTTAATACGATCCGTTCACTCACGAGGAAATCGGTCGAATTGTCGAATTGTCGAATCTTCGCGAGCAGATCGCTTTGTATCATTCGGAGAAACACATAAGAGAGACGGAGAGACGGAGAGACGGACGGGTGATGTGGCTTCAGACGTAACTTTTAACCCTCCGCGAATTTTAATTATTCGGAAAGAATCGATAGCACAGGCGGCAAATCGATCCTCAAATAATTTCGGAAATTCCTCGGTCCTCGTGATACGTAATAGTGAATCGCTCTCGGGCAGGATTCCTCTCCTCTCGCGGGAAGCGAGCTCACCATCTGCCGTCTCTTGCGTTTCCAGGCGGTCGAGGGCAGGCCTCACATCAGGCACCATCGGGACGGCTCGCACTGCAGCAGATGCGGTCCAGGCTGGGGCGTGATTAGCCGTTGCGCTCGCGGCCGCGACACCGAGTGCGGGAGATGCCGTGCCGGCACGTACAGCCCGCATCACAGCACGCAGCCCTGCTGGAACTGCGCCAGATGCGGCCCGGGTTTGTACGAGGCGCATCCGTGCACCTCGCGCTCCGACACCGTCTGCGATTCCTGTCACCGTCCCGCGCCGGACAATCCGGATTACCGGCGTAAATGCGAGGGTCGCGCCAAGTTTTTCCTCGCGCCGGAGGACGCGCGGAACACCGCCGAGGAAAGCGTGCTGGTCAACGAGCCAGCCTATCGATTTCAGTTGTACGACAGAGAGCGGATACTCGAGAAGGACGTGGAGGCCATCCTGAGGGATAAATCGACCGCTCGATCGGAGGATCTACAGAGGACCTAATCATCCTCATCCTTCATGCTCGAATATTATCCATAATTAATTCCGAATAATGAAACATGCTCACGCGTCTGTCCATCTCGGGTGACGACAGGAAAGATATTGTTTTTTTTTTTTTTTTTTTTCCGTTCGATACTCGATTATTGCAGAATTTTCGAAATTGAACTAACACCTGAGAAAATAAATGGATCACATAGGAGCAAAAAGCAGTTTGACAGATTCGTAATAGGATTAGAGGACTAATATACGTTCGATATTGATCGATCTTTCAATACTAGTCAATTAGCGCTTAAGAGGATTAAACTTTTACCTGTGGAATAGCGTACTTTGCGACTTCGATAATCGTTCAAAAATGAGAATATTCACTTAAAAACTGAATTATTACATTTGCTCGTTAGAAGAAAATTTTGATTGTTCGCGTCGGCTACATCGGGCGATGCCCGATAGAGGCGAAGAAGTAGAGATGTAGAAAGATGGAAAACAAGCTCTCTGCTAAGTATCAGCATATAAATAATCCTTTTCTTGAATATGATTTTAAACAACTCCATTTTTAATATTTAGGTCTGTATCGCTGTATCTTATATTACAGACGACTATAACAATAATTACCTTTAGGCTATCGAGAATCGCAGACTATATCGAAATTTGTATATCCTACTCTATCGTACGACATTACGAGTCTCTCAAAAATTGATGTAATGCATTTTTGTGTATCTAGAGATATTACATCTATTGATTTATATTATTATATATCGTCGCTATAGCTGACGATAAGTGCACGTGTACAATTAATCAATGGCATGTTCAAATCCATGTTTTTTATGAATCGAATTTCATTTGAGTTATTCGAAAAATTAACGAGTGCAAAAAAGAAAAGGAAGACAAACTTATCGAAATATATCGAACTTATGAATATAATCTCATTTATCGATAAATGAGATCATATTCATAAGTTCGATATATTCAAAGTGAAAGTTTCCCCGACGTATCCTCCTTTGACTTCGTCAAATAATCGACGATACTCTCGAATATTAATTCATCGTGACATCAAATTTATTTAGATCCTTTCGAAACCTTGAGACTCTTTTCTTTTGATACAATTCTATTCTTATGAAAGCCAATATAGATTTCTGTCTCATTTATTTCTTTCTGACTTTTGACATTTCAACTATATGTATGTCACGCGCGATTGGATCCATAATTTGTAAGAGCATAATAATTTAAGTTAAAGACTAATTAAAAGTAAAACAAAGATAAAACATCATTCGTTATATATACTCTAATAAATATTTTCTGAACAAATCTCCAGAACCGAGCATATATCGTTTTTTTTTTCCGTCCATTCTGCAATATTCATATTTAGCTGACGATGTCTCAACATTATTTGGATTATATAGAATCTTTCGTGTATAATATTACATATGTGAGATATGTAAATAAGACTGCAGAGTATATTACACGATACCGATGGTAGCTATACTATTTTGTGTCAAATACAATTTAATGCCTCATCGTCGGAAACGGATACACGCATACCTATGCGATGTACGACTGATAATTAAACGTTAGTTGGAATACTTACGGTCGGATGGACCGGCCAGTGGCGAATTTTAGTGCTATGAAAAATGTATCAGATAGTATTAATTTATTTATTTTAGTACTGTAAAATGTATCCTTAAGAATAAGTTGTTGTAAATATTAATTAAACGCTACTTCGTAAAGATCATTGTTACTTCATTTAGAGATCCTTTACCATGTGAACTTTGGCATTTGTCCAAGATAAGCATTTGTTAAGAACACAGTCAAGAATCATTCCGAATAGAAGTATGTCTTTGTAACAGAGATGGCGGCTCTTACACAAGACTGCTTGTACCTTTATATTCATTTCAATTCCGGTTCCCTAATACGGATCCCTAATTTTCTGAATCTACTTCTCAAAACAAATTTATGTCTTGGTCTTATTTTCCCACTTTTTTAAAAAAATATGTATTTGTGCATAGAAATCCACAGTCTGATTATAAATGGTACAGCGAACTTGGCACATCTTGCAACAATCTCGATAATCGAGTAAAATAAGTCTGATATGATTAAATTTAAAATAGAGAAAACTGAAACAGCAAGAGAATCAGGCAAAGTAGGCATGTTTTTAACGAGAGATAATATTTATATATATATATATATATGTATATGTATATATATATATATTATTTTATGATATAAATCAATAATGTCTTATAAACGTACATGTACATACAAAGCTAAACAATACAAAATAAATGATTCAGGAAAGAACGCTTGCACGATTTATTCTGCGTAGGAGTCGGCCAGAGCGGTACTCGGAAGAGAGAGGGAATAAAAACGAAAACGCACGCTGCGGGACTAAAGATTGTTCTCGCGTAAAGATTGAATGTAGAAACCTAGGATTTCTCGAACTTCCGTAAGGCTGTTCTGAATTTCCAAAAATTCTAAAGATATTAAATCGAACGGCGAATTCGTGAGATTAGAGGGGGGGGGGGGGAAAGAATACGCGTGTTCGAATGACGTGCCATGTGCACAACTAGAACAAAAGCTTTCTTCTACAAAGCTCGCCGCCCGTTGTAGAGACGCGAGTAACGTAACGGCTAAACTCGCAGCTAGAGATCAAGATCAATGTACGCTCGTTAACTTCGTTAAGTTTGACCTTAAAGTCACGACGGTCGAAAACCAGGCGAGACAACACCCATGCATATGCTATACACGAGGAAATAAATACGATGAGCGCCGTTAATTACAAAGGGACGAAAGTCGAACTTCTACTATGATATTATCATACAATACGCTCGTAATTGCGAGCGAAGCGGCTCGCAGTCGAG